CCACGAAGGGCCCAAGGACTCCTTGTGCTCGCAACTTCGGGAGTTCAAATGCGTGCCGGTGGAATCTATCAAACGCCTAGAGGCCAGAGTCCGATAGGCGCAACAGAGCAGAAGCCAGCTCCAGAATATGTCAAACCATCCAGAGCAAAGAGTAGAAGCCAACTCCAGAATTTGTCAAACTCTGATAGCCTGACATGTGCAAAAGCACAGCACCGTTGTGAGGTGCTGTCAGCCACTCCCTTGGCAGGGTCACGCCCGGGGCATGATGCATCAGGACATGGAACTCCCCCAACAGGAGGCTCCAGGCCCACCTGGCCACTTCGTGGACGAGGGGAAAAGGATCCTTGCGTATCAAGGAAACCGGGAGAAGCTAGGCTCACCTAGGGAAGGCTCTACTGCAGTAGAGAGCACCTCATGGTGAAGCGCCAGACTGCAGCAGAGACATCAGGCGGTGGCCGCGATTTCGTCAGCCCCTCCTTCGGACAGTCCTTATAGAGGGGATGAATTGCCACCTTCTTCATCTCTCTGAAATTCTCCAGCCATCTCGGGGACCCAAATAGAATGTCGTTGTGGTCGAGATGGTTAGCAAGTTTCTCAAAAAGCTCCGCATCCTTGGGCTGCATCATAGCAGCCGGCTCACCATTCCATCCGCTGTCGTCGTCTGCCATGTCTTGGAGCAGACCATCCATCGTGATGTAATCACGATTTGCATTGTCGCCAGCAGTAATGCCATGCCCGCTGGCTGCTGCTGCTGCTGATGAGGGTTGTTGTCCTCCGTCATGTTCTGCATTCACCACCACCGTCGATGTCGTCGATGAGTTTCCTCCAGATGCACCGGCACTCGGATCTGCTTCGCCGTGAAACTTCCAGACGGTGTAATCCTTGACGAAACAATACGGCATCAAGTGAGATTGCACCACGTTATCTTCCTGGTCAAGCTTGTTCTTGAAGCTATTGCACGAACAAATGTTGCGCTCCCGATTCAGACTCAGATGATACTTTTTTGTAGCGGCAACAAACTTTCTCACATGATCCAGGTAAGACAGATCCAGCCTCGATGTCTTGTCCATCCAATCCCTGTCGATGACCGCGAACCTAGCTTGCACACACACAGCGAGAATGGCATATAATAAGTAGAGCAGTATGGAAAAAATGCAGTCGGGTAGCTATAGATCTGATTTCTCTCTGCTCCATATAGATCTAGATCTAGCTCTAAAGAAAAAACACCCAAATCATGCAAAAGAGAGAAGAATGAGGATTGGAGAGCGAGAATCAACCTCTTGCGGTGCCCTCCTTCCACAAATCCAAGGGCAAAACTTCTTCCCCTAGAAAATGCCCAATCTTTGGGGTCTTGGAGCTCAAAACCTGCAAAAAATGGAGAAGCCGTGGGGAAGAAGGGTGGGTACGGCTGTATAACCTAGGCTTAACCGAGGCGGGCACTATAAGTCAACCGACTCAGTTAATCGCTTGTTAACCGAGGCAGTTGCCTTGCACAAAACGCCTCGGTTAAACGATTAACCGAGGCGGGCCAGCTAAGGCAACCGCCTTGCTTAACACTTATTAACTGAGGCGGTTGCCTTAGAGAAACCGCCTCGGTTAATAGGCGTTAACCGATGCGGTTCGGTCACATTGCCCCCCCCCCCTCAGTTAAGCATTAACCTAGGCGGTTGCTGGGCTGGCTGTCCTGCGACGAATATCCGAGGCGGGCAACCGGCCCAACCGCCTCGGAGGCCCAAAACCAAACGCCTTGTAATTTGTTTTTGTGTAGTAGTGGATGCCCGCGCCTCCAAGACTCATCTGCTGGCGCTGTGACTTGGTCACTGCTGGAGCGAGCCACCAGATGCACGTGCGGATGCAATGAAGGCAGAGGTGGAAGTTCCATTTTGCTTTCTTCTCAACGTACACTCCTGCCTCCAGCTTGTCATGAAGCAGAATTGGTGGCCAAGGTGACTTAGTTCCTTGCCTAGGGTGGAGGTGGTAGATCTGGTGCCTCTAAGGATGGATCCGACAGTCCCTAGGCTAGATATGCTCAGGTGGAGCTCGTCTCTGGTGTAGGCGCATGGGGATCGTCGCTCCACGTGCATGGGTGGCATGAAGGCGGCTTGGGTGACCAGAGGCCACGTGTGCACAGTGGTAGCACAGTGGCCTTGCGTGGGCAGTGAAAGAGGTGTGGAGGCTGTGTGTGGCCTGCTACGGTGGTGTGGAGCTCGCACCACAATGGCGGTGCACGCACGGAGGCCTGCGCATGTGTATTGGCAACATGGGGACTGTGGTGAGCAAGCTCGCGTCATCCGCACATGGCAAACGGTGGTGGCCATGTGGTGAGGAGGCTGCGTTTGCATTTGGCAGGGCGACGGCGGCTAGGCATGGTGTGGTAAGGTGGTTGCGTGCGGCTTTGTACTATTGTGCTTTTGGGCTGTTGCAGGGGGTTGTGGTGGTTTGTGGCTATGTTGGTGGGTGGCGTGGGTTTTTTTAGTTTTATTCCCTGCTAAAAGCCTTGAGCTGAGTTGTTTAGTTGAGTTGTTAGTTGCGTTGTGTTCAACTAAGTTAGCTCAGTTTTTGAGTGAATATTGGAGTTTGAAATTAGAATGGTTAGTGGGCTGGTCATTGTACAAAATTTCTATGGGTGCTGCAAGCACTCCACTTCTATTTGTGTGATTTTCAGACCCGGTTTGCACTCAAACAATTTGGACAAGATTGCCACTCAAATAATTTGGACAACACTTGTTTTTATTTTTCTTCTTCTCATAAAAACTATAGCAAAGCGGTTGCTCCCCTTTTGAAAAAGAAAATAGAGTATAGTTCATGGCCGGTCCTCAAACTTATAGGGGTGTGTCATCCCGGTCTCTATACTCAGAAAGTGTGTCGTTTCGGTCCCATATTCATCCAAACGGATATGGATCCATGCCCGCGTACTGAGATAAGACTTGATTGCTTGAAATAGAACAATAGTGGGGTTATATACAAAATCGCCTAGACACAAAAATAACACTAATATTTATGAACTTCATGAGGGTTGTTTTGAAAAAAAACCATCTTCTTCCTATCATCCCGTCGTTAGCGGTGTCGCCACCTGGGCGCGCGTGCGTGTTGCTCCTGCCTGGCCGCGCGTGCGCATCGCCGATGCCTGGGCGTGCGCGCGCGTTGTCGCCGCTGCGGCTGTTGCTGGGCGTCTGCACGTCGGCGTCAGCCTGCCTCACCACCGACGACATGCAGGAGCTGGCACCGGTGGCCATGGACCTCGTCTGCGCCAAGGACAGGGGGAGCAAGAACAGGGACCACGGTGGCGTGGCCTGACGTGGCAGCGGCGGCAGGGCCCGCGGTCCGCGCGCTCATCTACCCAGCATGGTAGCAGCGGCGGCGTGATCGGCAGCGCGCGCGCTCGCCTGCCCCTGATGCGATGGCGTGGCCTGTGGCCCGCACTCACCTGCTCGGTGTGGCAGTAGTGGTGTCGCGGCCGACGGCCCGCATGCTCGCCTGGCGGCGCTGGGATAAGCACGGGATGGAGTTCGTCGACTTCCCCGGCGCGAGGAGCAGTTGCGCCCGCGCGGTGAGCAGCTCGCCTTCGTGGTCTTGCCGGTGCCGAGCTCGGTGCTGCGGCTTCTACGGCGCGACTGCACCGGCACGGGCAGCAGCGTAGGGCGGAGCTCGTCGGCGCGGGCTCGCCGATGCCGAGGTCGATGGGGCGGCTTCCTATGGCGAACAGCAACGCGCGGTTTAGGTGACCATGGCCATGAGAGAGAGGTGAGAGATGAGAGATAGAGCTGACACGTGGGGCCAAACCCGTTTGGATGAATATGAAACCCAAACAGAGTTTAAGGACCAAAATGACACACTTTCTAAGTTCGAGAACCGGGATAACATACTTCTACAAGTTTGAGGACCAGCAATGAACTTTATTCGAGAAAATATAACAAACACGTAAACTGTGCATGAACCAAAAAAGTTAAAACTGTTGCATATAGGTCATCAAAAGGAAAGCATAATCTCGAACACTCCATGTGCTTAGATATTTTACGATGCTTTGAACAATTGGAGGACACAGACAAGGGAGCAGAAAGTAATGTAATACTAGTGTCGAAACATATTTTAGCAAAAGTATATTATGCAACAAGAGGCTGCGCATAATTAACGATGAAACATGAGAATATACAAAATGGAATCTAAAATCTCGTAGATGCTTTTATGTTTCTCAGGTCAATGCAGGTCTACAATCTTGACAAATGGAAATGAATGAATACAAAGTTAAAAATTACATCTGTTGGAAGTGCAAGATTATTTATATTTGTTAGTACCTGGCGTGGCGTGAACATGGCTGCAGTTGACTCTTATGAGCTGCTTCTTTTGTTTCTTTATGGGACTTGTGCACAAAACACGTGCTTTTCTTCTTTACCTTTTTTTTTAATAAGGGATTCATGTTCCGGCCGCTACACCCTCAAGAGGGTATAGGAAGTCTTATATTGCAACACCGAGCACTTATTAGGCTGGTAGACCACCGATGCTTTTCTTCTTTACTAGGATATTAGCACATGCAGTAGCTGTGGTTTGAGCTATAAGTTTGTCCCAAATAAATCCTTTGCTTACATGTGATGTATACATATGTCCACTAAAAGAAAAAGAAATGTATACATCACAGGTAAGCAAAGGATTTGGGACATAAAGTTTGTCACCGATTTGAGCCAAACTGTTTGCACTGCACATCACAGGAAGCATAGACGTACCCTGCGACGTATAAAAGGATATGATGGCCTCACCAATTCATTAATAGGCGCATGTACTCACTGGCACTCTTAAATCCCGCATCCAACACACAAGAAAGCACACAATTCATTAATATTGTGGGCGTGCGTGATGGATATCAACATCTCAAGTGCGCTGGATTGGTGGGACGTGTGGAAGCTCCGCCTCCTCGTCCTCGCCAGCACACTAATCCAGGTGTTCCTCTTCCTCTGCGGCGCGGCAAGGAGAGCCCCAGTGAAGCGATGGTTTAGGGCCTGCATATGGCTTGCATATACCTCGCTGGGGACTCTCTGGCCATCTACGGCCTGGCTTCCCTCTTCAACCGCCACGGCCGGCAGGGCACGGTGGGGTCGACGCTGGAGGTGCTGTGGGCGCCCGTCCTCCTCATCCACCTCGCCGGTCATGAGCAGATCACCGCCTACAGCATCCAAGACAACGAGCTGTGGCGGCGTCACATCGTCATCCTGGTAACCCAGGTTGCTGTCGCCCTCTACGTGTTCATCGAGTCGTGGTCACGTGAGCGGAGCCGGAGGCTGCTGGCCTCGGCCATTCTGCTGTTCATCATCGGCATCTACAAGATGAGCACAAAGCCATGGGCTCTGAAGAGGGCCACCTTGAGGAACCTGTTCAGCTCCCCGGCTAGTCTGGCCCGGAGGAAGCAACTGATCGGATTCGGATCCGGATCCAGCCATTGGTTGTTAGACACCTGGAAGGCTCTGACGAACACCCTATGGGTGCGGAGGAAGGCCTTCTTCTTCACTGCCGGTGATCCTACCGGGTCCGGACCTAGTGAATGGAGACGAGCCGCAGCCGAACAAGAAGAAAAGGAAGTAGCTGATGCAGAGCTCGGCGTCGGTGAGTACGTTCACAAGGTGGTAGAAGCAGCCCGCGAGGCGAAGGCGGGAGGCACAGCGACTTTGCCTCTTTTCCTTGCCGAGGCCGATACATTTGCTGCGGACATCCTTGTCCCCTACTCTCGCCGCCTTAAGATACTGGAGGCTATGTTCAAAATTGATTGGAAGGGGGGTAGTAGTAGCTCTGCATTTGCAGTTAGGATGGGTCTCGACGAGATATATTACCGCCTGTACACCAGGGCTAAGGTCGCCTCGACACCCATCAGCCTCAACCTCCGGCTCCTTACCTCCTCCCTTTCCGTCGTGGCGATCGCCCTCTTCGCGACGTCCCCAAAGTCCCACGATGATGTGGTGGACGTCAAGGTGACGTACATCCTCTTCTGCTTCGTCGCTCTGCTGGAGGTTCTCTCCTTGGCCACCGTCCTCTTGTTGGATTACCCGATCGTGCTACCGCCAGCTTCTTACAACGCCAAACACATGGTGTACCAACAAAGCCTGATATCGAGCGCCGCCCGGAGGAGGAAACCCACACTGTGTTAGACTTAGCATGTTTAGTTGAGTTTCTTTTTCCTTTCAGTTGTAATCCCGTTGTAACTCTGCATGTGTCATGTTTAGCGCGTAGAACCACGGTCCCGGGCGGAGATGTGCCCAGTCCAGGACGTGGCCGCGTGAGTCGGGTAAGTGGTCACCGCCACTGCATGATCGTCGTGCATGTCGCTCGGTGTGGCAGAGAAACCGGACCGAGCAGCGATCGTGTGGTGGCGGGGGACGGGCTCAGGCCCATGTATCTGCATAATAAAAGGCAAGAAAAAACCCGAAAAAGCTGCGGCGGTTGTGCAGCGAAAAAATCCATCGCATTCTGTTGTCCAGTTCATTGTGTGTGTTGCGTGCGCCCGGTGATCGCGCTCCGGCGTTCGCCGGCGTTCCAGTCAGCAGCAGGGGTTCGGCGGATACCGCCGGCTCCAACAAGTGGTACCAGAGCATAGGTGTATGTTCTACAGTGGGTCTGTTAGCCCACCGCGAGAGCCCCCTCGGAAGAAGTTCGTGATCCCGTGCAAGGCGGCGGCGGCGAAGATGGGTGACGAGACGTCGACGAGCACCGAGGCGGGAAGTGGCGTTCGCGAGAGCTCGCTCATGTGGCCGATGCTCACGCGCACGAACTACTCCGAATGGTCCATGCTGATGCAATGCAACTATGAAGCGCTGGAGATCTGGTACACCATCGATCCGGGGACGAACGTCAAAGCGTTCAAGGATCGTCGAGCGATGAGCTGCCTGAACCGATCTGTGCCCACAGGAGATGTGGACGACGTTGGGAAGAAAGAACACCGTCAAGGAGGCGTGGGGGCGGTCAAGACGATGCGACTCGGTGCTGATCGTGTCAAGGAAGTCAATGCCCAGAAGCTATTACAAGAATTTGAGAACATCAGCTTCAAGGATGGGGAGACAGTCGACGATTTCGGCATGAGGATTAACAATCTTGTCGCCAACCTTAAAGCCCTCGGGGAGATGGTGGATGAGCCCCGAGTCGTGAAGAAATTTCTCCGAGTCATCCCCGCAAAATTCGCGCCGGTTGTGGTTTCGATCGAAATGTTCTGTGATCTAAAAACCATGACGGTCGAAGAACTGGTGGGGAGGCTGCGTGCGGCGGAGGAACGCATGGAGGAGAAGGTAGAACAGATCGTGGACAAAGCTGGTCGATTGCTTCTGGCCGAGGAGGACTGGATCGCAAAATACAAACATCGCCTTCACCCAACTCACTCAAAGAAAGCGAGGCGAGGGCATGGTCAGTACAAGGGCAAATCGCCGGTGAAGCATGATGGCGGCTGTGGAACTGGTGGCCAGAAGGCCGTCAAGCTCACGTCGGAGGGCACTCCTCACCGTAAAGGTAGGTGTCGCAACTGTGGCATCTATGGCCACTGGGCCGAAGACTGCAAGAGGCCCAAGAAGGAAAAGAAAAATGAGGAGAAGAAGGAGGCGGCGAACGTGGCTGTCGCTGATGCACAGCCGGCGTTGTTCATGGCGTCGGCAAGCGAGATCGTGCACAAGGCCACCAAGTTCGTACATCTGGGGGAGAAGAAGGTGGCTCCCATCCACTGCGATGACGGCGTGTGGGTGCTGGACACAGGAGCCAGCAACCACATGACGGGAACGCGGGAAGCACTGACACACCTTGACGAGGAGGTGTCAGGTACTGTTCGTTTCGGCGACGGCTCCTGCGTTGAGATCAAGGGGCTCGGCTCAATCGTCATGGAGGGACGAGATCGCCAACACAAGGTACTGACCAACGTGTATTACATTCCCAAGTTACAGAGTAACATCATCAGCCTAGGCCAATTGGAGGAGGCTGGGTGTGAAGTGTTAATGAAAAATGGCAGACTTACAGTTGTTGATTCTGAGGGTAAACTAGTGATCAATGTCTCACGCACTAGTAACATGTGCTCTATACCCTGAAGAATGCAGTAGTACCCCCTGTTTGTTTGCACATGAACTTAGCAGATCCAACTTGGGTGTGGCATGCAAGGTTTGGTCACCTGAATTTTAGAGCACTTCGAGATCTAGGCAAGAAGGGGATGGTGGAAGGCCTGCGAGAGATAGATCGAGTCGAACAGGTTTGTGATGGCTGCACATTGGGAAAGCAGCACAGAAAACCATTCCCTCAAAGAATCCTCATTCAGAGCAAGTCGTGGCTTAGAATTGGTTCATGCTGACTTGTGTGGAAAGATCAGCCCACCAACCCCGGTGGGAAGCAGTATTTTCTGCCTTGTGGTAGATGACCACAGCAAATACATGTGGGTGGAGTTGTTGAAAGCTAAAGATGAAGCACTGCAATACTTCAAGAAAATTAAACAGCAAGCTGAATTAGAATGTGGCAAGAAGATGAAGGCAATGAGAACTGACAGAGGGGGAGAGTTTAACTCAAACCTATTCACTGTCTTCACCAATAATACAGGCATCAAGCATTACACTACTACTGCTTACTCTCCACAGCAAAATGGAGTAGTGGAGCGTCGTAATCAAACCATAGTGGAGATGGCTAGATGCCTGTTAAAGTCAAAAGATGTGCCACCAAGGTTCTGGGGTGAAGCTGTTGTAACTGCAGTGTTCATATTAAATTGAGCTCCAACCAAAAGCCTTCAGAACGTGACACCATATGAAGCTTGGCATGGAAAGAAACCCAGGGTGGATCATATGAAAACTTTTGGGTGTGTAGCACATGTAAAGAAAGTTGGGCCTGGTATCACAAAATTGTCTGACAGATCAACCAAAATGGTTTTCCTTGGGTATGAGTCAGGAACAAAAGGGTATCAGGTGTTTGATCCTGTAAACAACCAACTACATGTGAGCCGAGATGTTGTGTTCGAGGAGCAAGAGAAATGGAATTGGGATACCCCAAGAAGCTCAGGCCAGGCTGAAACTGAAAGCTTTATTATTGATCTTCAGCCTACTGTAGCAGAACCGACAATGCAACCTGCAGCTGTATTTGAAGAGGGTGAAGGCAGTCAGCAGGATCAGGGGGAACAGGGTCACGAACTGTCACCCCAGGCATCATTACCAGCATTACCAGGGTCCCCATCGACACTAAATAATTCTGCAGCAGGCTCTAATGCCACTAGGTCGAACTCTGCAGGTAGCTCAGACTCTGTTCAGGGTCCAGTCAGGTTCAGGTCCTTGACTGATTTGTTTGATGCCACTGAGGAGATACATGACTACAAATATAGTGGGTTATGCTTGCTTGCAGCTGATGAACCAGCAAGTGTTGAGGAGGCTTTGGAAGAAAAATGTTGGAGGGATGCAATGAATGCAGAACTGCAATCCATCAGTGACAACAACACTTGGAGACTGACAGAGCTACCAAAAGGTCAGCGAGCTATAGGTCTCAAGTGGGTGTTTAAAGTGAAAAAAGATGCAGCTGGTAACATTGTCAAACACAAGGCTCGACTTGTGGCAAAGGGGTATGCACAAAAGCAAGGGGTGGATTTTGATGAAGTCTTTGCACCTGTGGCCAGACTAGAAACAGTAAGATTACTTTTGGCTCTAGCTGCAAATGGGGGCTGGGAGGTCCATCATATGGATGTTAAATCTGCTTTTCTAAATGGGGATCTCCTAGAAGAGGTGTATGTTCATCAGCCACCAGGATTTAAAGATCCAGACAATGCAGGGTTGGTGCTTAAGTTGAATAAGGCCTTATATGGGTTGAAGCAGGCTCCAAGAGCATGGAATGCAAAACTTGATCAAGAGCTGTACAAACTCGGTTTCAGAAGGAGTGAGGAAGAGCATGCTGTGTACAGAAGAAGTGAGGGTGATTCATTCCTCATAGTTGGTGTGTATGTAGATGATTTAATCATCTGTGGTCCAGATAGCAGTAAGATCTATGGATTCAAGGAGCAGATGAAGAAGCTTTTCAGCATGAGTGACTTAGGCCTACTAAGTTACTACCTTGGGATGCAGGTGACTCAAAAGGACGGTGAGATTTCAATTTGCCAAAGTGCCTATGCTACCAAGATAGTAGAACAGTGTGGTCTGTCAGGCTGTAATTCTACAGATACACCAATGGAACAGCGTGTGAAACTTGTATCAGGAACTGCAGAAAAGGTACTTGATGCTACCAGGTATAGGAGTATAATTGGGAGTCTTAGATACTTGGTTAACACAAGACCAGATATTGCTTATGCAGTTGGGATAGCAAGTCGTTTCATGGAGTCACCAAACAGTGAGCACTGGGGTGCTGTAAAAAGGATAGTCAGATATATATCTGGAACTATCAGCTATGGGCTCAAGTATGGTGCAGGGGGAGATGGAGGTCTGAACCTGTTGGGATACACAGACAGTGACCATGGTGGTGATCTCGTGCTGCGCAGAAGCACCACTGGCATGGTATTCTTCCTGGGATCAAATTTGGTGACATGGACCTCACAGAACAGAAAGTTGTTGCCCTCTCTTCGTGTGAGGCCGAGTACATGGCAGCAGGAGCAGGTGCTTGTCAGGGAGTGTGGCTTAGCAGGCTCTTAGCTGAACTGATGGGAAGAAGAGTTCAGAAGTTCAAACTTCTTGTGGATAACAAATCGGCCATAGAGCTATGCAAGAATCCTGTCTTCCACGAAAGAAGTAAACACATTGACACTCGCTTCCATTACATCAGAGATTGTGTCAGCAATGGGTAGGTTGATGTTGAACACGTGAGAACCGACAACCAGTTGGCTGACATACTGACAAAAGCACTAAGCAGGATCAGGTTCGTGGAGCTGCGACAGAAGCTGGGCATCCTTAAGATACAACAGGATTAGGGGGGTGATTTGTTAGACTTAGCATGTTTAGTTGAGTTTCTTTTTCCTTTCAGTTGTAATCCCGTTGTAACTCTGCATGTGTCATGTTTAGCGCGTAGAACCACGGTCCCGGGCGGAGATGTGCCCAGTCCAGGACGTGGCCGCGTGAGTCGGGTAAGTGGTCACCGCCACTGCATGATCGTCGTGCATGTCGCTCGGCGTGGCAGAGAAACCGGACCGAGCAGCGATCGTGTGGTGGCGGGGGACGGGCTC